AACACACAAATTTTAAACATTATTTTTAATACTAAGATCATTATTTACATAAAAATTTCTAAAATATATAAAGGTGCATATGGCCCTTCCCAGTGCTTCAAGGTGTACAGATGTTAAGAATGTCATATAGGCAAAAAAATGATGTGGCAGAACAATTAAAGAGGAGAGGGAGTATTACGGTGACACTAGAAGGAAACGATGCTAAGCACGTGGACCTATGCAAAATGACTATCAATTAATGCATAAAGGTGTTTTGGTGTTAAAACATTAAATAAGGCATGCTTAGCTATACAAGTTAAGCACCAATGCATTGGGAAGAGTAATTGCTAATTTTTTTAATGCATTTAGCACTAATCCTGGTGCGGCGCTTCGACAACTAAGTATTCATTCGTCTACGCATGCCCAGTGTTGGCAACACCGGAGCGTGCCTTCGTCTAGGATGTGTCCCCGGGCTTGGCAACCCCAGCGCGACGCGTCGTCAACATCGTCTTCTCCCCGGCGCACCACTCCTTCAACACCACTGCACCCATCACTAACTCGGCGCCTCCTTGCGCCCGCGGCTCCACGGCGTTTCCTCGACTCCGGCTACCCCGACTCGACATCGACCATGGAATTCTTTGCACAGCTATCTCGACCACGGCTACACCATCCTACGCTCTCGGCTACCTCGACATCGGCATAAATGGCTATCATCCGCTTGAGCAACTCGTCGGTTTCCATGACGCTCCCGCTACCACTGTGGGGGATGTCAGCTCGTCGGCTGCTATTCTCTCCAGTCTGACCGTCCGCGATGCTCATGTTATCTGCGACGCTACTGCTACGATTGCGGGAGGATGTTAGAGATATATTTGCGTTACATGTATTTGGTAGTGTAGGATTTGTAATCCGTCTCCTACCTTATCTTAAGAAGAGGCTTCTTACCCTTCAAGTCTTGTTTTTTTTTTGACCTCACCCTCCAAGTCTTGTACTAAATATATATACTCGCCCTCGAGGCTCAATAATACATTCATCATATTGTGCAACAATCCCTCTCTATTCTTCTAACAATATGGACTAAGATTAGGATGGTCATCCATCCTCATCTAATCATCTCGGCAGGCCAAAGCGCAAGAAGACAAACCGATGATGGAGCCAGGACCTAATTTAATTAGGTCAGCCATGATAAAAAAGGACGCACATCAACCTGCCATTTCGATGGAGTCGTTGTCCATGGCGGCAGGTGCCGCTTTGGTATTTCTACGACCCACTCGTCATTTGTAGGGCCGGTTGGGACATAAACAAAAGGTCTGATAATATATGTATCCATCTTTTTTTTTTGCGAATATTGATCTGTATCTATCTAGAAAGGTCCACTGACATTTGTTTGTTTTCTCTGCTTGCGTCGACGGTAGGAGGGAAATTGATCGCGATATCGTTTCGGTCGGGAGAGAGGAACATAAAAGGTGCAGTGTATGATTGCTCGGCAAAGGGTAGCCAAAACACAGTGTCGTCGAAGTAGGAACCGATGGTACGTGAGGACGTCGATGCACCAACCCATGCTGGAATTTCTTTTGGCATATCTCTTTTTTTTTCTGGATTTTTTTTTTGGCGTTTCAGAGACGGGTCTTGTGTCAATTGTGTGATAGAAATAGAATGAATATATAGCTGAGTGCTCCAGATTACTAGTCTTGTTTGTATATAGCAATCAAAAGAAAAAGAATTTGGATTTGACTATGTTTTTCCACTGCTTCGAGTTTTCACCTTGACTTGTCTGCGTGCCTGGTTAAAGCCACGCACACATACACCTTCCACACCCTAAACAAGTATACCAGGACGCCACTCACATTGACTTGCATGTTTCAAACCAACCAAGACGTGGTCCACCTGCCGCCGGGGAGCAAAACGCCGAGCCGGTGCCGTCCAACACAGGTCACCACGCACGCACGTCGCCGTCCGCCGGTCCCCGGAGCGTGGGCGAAGGCGAGACCCGGCAAGACGCCTACCACCCGACGCGTGTTGAAACCGTGACAGTGAAAAAACAGCTCCTCCCGCGCTGGGCGAGGGGCGGCGTCGTCCCGTCTCCCGGCCCGTCGCGTCGCGCCGAGGGAAACCGAACAAAACAAAGGGAGACGCGCGAGACGGGTCCGCGGTGCGGTGCGGTTCGGCCGGGTCCCCACGCGCGCGCGCACGCACGCCCACTCTTGCATAGTGCGGGCCACGTCACCGTTTGGGTCGCCACCAGGTGGGCCTCGACACCTGGAGCCCGCCACTGGGCGCGCGGGCGCCCTGTCAAGTGTCAAGTGAGAAGCGCACTCGCATATCACCTCCTCGCCGGCTGCACGTCAACCACATACCCCTCGCACGCGGCGCTGGCTAGCATATCCCTTGTGGTGGCTGACGGGCCGGGGCCTGGTTGGGGTTTCGGTGTGGGGTCGCCGTGAGATCGTTTGGTTGCTTGGGGACGGGTAGACTAGGAGGGCGTAGCAAAACGTGCGCGCGGGCCCCTCGCTCGGTCTCAGGGCGGATCCTCTGTGTATGTTTTGAGACACTGCCTTGACCAGGGGATTGTCCTCAGGTAAGTATAAATTTCTTTATTTTTATATATAAAAAATGTGCTTCCTCCTTTCGAAATTAATTGACGCAGCCTCGATATGATGTAAGTAAGACATTTGTATAAAGATTGTGCCGATTAATTTGGATTAAAGGGAGTAAACAGTTCGCTATTTGAAAATGAATTGTAAGAACTTACTCCATTTTTCACCTGTTGGGAGGACTGATACCTTTGCGAATTTATTCTGTGTACTCCCTCTGTTCATTACTATAAAATGTTCTAATTTTTCTTTGAATTGGATGTATAGACATGTTTTATTATGTTTGTTCTTCAGTCTGTATGTAGCACATACTACCTCTGTCCCGGATTATTTATTGCGGAAATTTATGTATTTAGATGTATTTTTAGTTATATATACATTCATTTCTATTCATTTCTGCGAAAGTAATTCAGGACGGAGGGGATATTAAAATATCCAAAACATCTCATGATGGTGAATGGAGGGAGTAGGTTGTTTGATACATAGGATAAATCATATACCAAAATTTTGAGGGATTTATTTGCACTGCAGTTTCTATGGAATGTTTTATCGACTGGAACCTTCTAAAAATATTTTTCTTTGTTTTCCTATTTGCCCAATTAAATAAAATATATCACAGCCACAATCCTAAACGAGTCAAGTGGGCATGCCATAGTAGTAATCATATTACCCCCCCCCCCCCTCCCCTCTATATTTGCATGTTT